GTGATGGCGTGGGGCAGCCCCGCTGAGCGGCTCTTCAAACCCCTGGTGACAGGTAGAAGTCTGGCGTTTGTGCCATGGCTGAGCCTTGTGCACGCTCCGTAACTGGAGCTGGCGATGGGCCCTTGCATCTCTCCCAGAGCTTCAGCCTTTGCTTAGAGCTGTGCCAGTGCTGCTGTGTTTTCCCCCAATATTGCAGCCCTGCAGCACCACAGGAGCGTGCCGCTTGCTGACACTGCCTGTGTTCACTGAGTGCCTTGGGCTGCGTGGTTCTGCAGTCCTGAGGTCTTGTTGGTCTGAGCCTAGTCAATGCAGCTGTCATAACTCTGCTTTTATCATCTTAGGGGCCCCCAAAGTATACAAAATCAATTTTAAAGAAGGGTGATAAAACCAACTTTCCAAAGAAAGGAGACACTGTGCATTGCTGGTATACAGGAAAACTACAGGATGGAACAGTCTTCGACACCAATATCCAAACAAGTAAGGACATTATATATATATACACACACACTATTTGGCTTTTGTTGCAAATGCATGCAGAGTAAATTAGCTGGACTGAATGAGCAGCCTCAGGCAGGCACTGGCAAACTGCTCATCGAGCTGAGTGGGGGTGTCCAGCCCGCTCCTGGAGCCTGATTTTCCATGAGGGAACGCAGGGCAGTATTTTAGGACTGGCTGGTGTCAAGTAACACAGCTGCATGTTGCCAGACCTCACGTTTGGCATTCTCCAGGCCATAGATAATGCAAAATGTGAGGATTTAATCAGTGCTGAAACTGCGTTGGAGGAAGGATGGTTCCTGCTTGAGGAGCTCCTGTTACCTCTGGCCCTGGGGCGCCCGCAGCGCAGTGACCTGCTCTAAGCAGACACACCTCGGTGTGCTGCTGCAGAAACCCTTCCAAGCAGAGGCACTGGGTGAGCGTGATCTCAGGAGGCTGCCGGAGCACACCCCCTGCAGAGAGCTCTGCTGGTATTTCTGTGACAGCGTCTCAGCCAGGGGATTGGGGTGTATGAGTTCTGCAGTGCTGGAGCTGCTTTTCCAGCGGCGGTGTGTGGCTCTGAGAGCAGCAGGGAACGCTGCCTGAGTCACCATAGCTGCTCTGTGACTCTGCACCCTCCCCGTCTGCTGCTCCGTGATGGGCTGAGCTCGAGGAATTCAGAAATCAGTCTTTGATGGTCACTGGATCAGTATCTGAACTGCATCTCATCGACTTCAGCTCTTGGTGCAACTCGAACATTTGATGTTTTTAATGCACAGCACTGAACTCTGAAACTAAACTAAAGCTCTGACAGTGGGCTAAAAATAGTATTAGAAGAACAGATATTTATATACGGCATGATCACAGTAGTAACTTTAGACAGGAGCGTGGTACGCGCTGGTGTGACGTTAAAGCAAATGAGTGTAAAACTCTCTTTCAGGTTCAAAGAAGAAGAAAGCAGCCAAACCTCTGAGTTTCAAAGTTGGCGTAGGAAAAGTCATCCGAGGCGTAAGTGAAGCGCTGGCGACGCCCTCAGAGCCCAAGGGGAGTTCTGGATCCGCGGGGTCCGAGCGCAGCTCAGCTGGCCCAGGAGCTGACCCTGGCTCCTGTCTGGGTGCCCGGAACGTGGCAGCAGCAGTGCCCCTGAGCCCGCGGCCGCGCTGGCGAGCCCTGGAGCGGGGCTGGCACTGAACGGAGCTGGGACCCGAGCACCCACACTGCCCCGAGCTCTGAGAGGCTCCCGTGTGCCCGGCGCCCCTCTGAGCTTGCTCTGTGCTGGTTTGTTTTCAGTGGGATGAAGCTCTTCTGACAATGAGTAAAGGAGAGAAGGCTCAACTGGAAATCGAACCGGAGTGGGCATATGGCAAGAAAGGGCAGCCTGATGCCAAGTATCCTTCCACAGCTGTCTACTCACTGAGTAACCTCCCCATCCTCTTGTTCCCCGGGGGCCCTTTAGCTGATCTTCATTGATCAGATCCCATCTCAGGCTTGGCTTCTCAAGCTAACCAGCCCCAGAGCTCTCAGTCTGTCCTGGGCACAGAGATGCTCAAAGGCCCTCAGCAGCTTCACAGATTCCACTGGACTTTCTCTAGTAGCAACTTGTCTCTTGACCTGGGGAGCCCAGAACTGGACCCAGTACTCCTGAGGTGGCCCTCGACCTGCTGGTCACACTGTTCTTAATGTACCTCAGGAGACCATTTATTTGCCTTCTTGGCCATGAGGGGACATTGCTGGCTCATGGGGAACTTGTCCCACAGCGCTCCCAGTCCTTCTCCTTGGAACTGCTTCCCAGCAGGTCACCCCACACCTGTACTGGTGCAGGGGGTTATCCCTCCCCAGGTGCAGGACCCTGCCCTTGCCCTCATTGAACTTCACGAGGTTGCTCCCCCCCCCAGCTCTGCAGGTCAAATGGATGGATGCAGCTGCCCATGGGTTTTGCAGAGCTCCTCAGGGAGCTGTCTAGGTGTGGCTCTTCCTCCTGTAGTGTAACAGGAGCACGAGCTGCTCCCGGAGGAGGGCCAGCATCTCCCAGAAATGGGGACAACACAGGGCAGAGCAGGTGGACCTCGGCTGCTCCTCTTCAGGGCAATGGGAATAATGAGAGTCATATGACTGCGGAATGGTTTGGGTTGGAAGAGACCTTAGAGATGATCCCTTCCCCGGCCCCCTGCCCAGGGTCCACGTCAGAGCAAATGTCCATCAGTGGAGCTGGCACCAGCGTCTCCCGGCAGCTCCCGTCGGGGGGAGCCGCCGCGCCCCGCGCGG